GCGATTAAATCGACTATGTCTTACTTGTAACTACTCGATCCACTTTTGGCCTGCTCGTAAGCAGTCCAATCTTATGAGCAATGACTGTGTTGCACAAGTAGCACTATAAGTTCCAACTAGTGGACCCTACTAGTAGCACCAAAATTCTCACTAGTTACATGTATGTCAAGATTGTCCTACTCAGAGCTATCGACTAAAATCTTTTTTTTTTTTTTACTTGGAGCACATTGTCCCCCTCACCTGAAATGTTACGGGTGCAAGTGGCAAACATGAATCATAAAGTAAATATTCACATTTTCACCCATTTTCACAAAATTACTGATTTAAAAAAAATCTCTACATTTATTGGTCACACATGCATGAGCAGATGAAGAATTTAAATACACTGTCTCACATTTTAAAGGTAAAAGGTTACCATTTAAGTGCAGTCTGGCACTTTTGTCCTACTACTGTGCAGAATACTAGCACATGGACCTTAAACTTTTTCTTTACTGACTTAATTGTTTTTTTAGAGGGTTACTAGTTGTCAAACAAGGTCTGTAAAGAGCAACATCCACTTTTGTTTAGTTTAGTTTCTATTGGGTGTTGGGGGTGGGAGTCCGAATAGATGAATGAAATTTCAAATCATTGAAAAGGGGAAAATTGATTAAATAAACAAGTAAACTCTATGTTTGATCATTCCAGATGTTCGTATCACAAAGCAAGTGCAGAGTACTTTCTGGTAAGGATGCCAAATACGATAATGTTGCTTAATCCTCTAACTACAACATGACAGTAACTTCCTCCAAAGTTTGACACGTAGGATCAATTGCAATGCGAAACAGTGTTTCCCCCCCCGAAAAAGTTCCATGGATTGACCATGGCTCATCTCATTGTGTCATTAGTAACGTCTAATGGATTCTACTGACTGCTCATAATAACAGATGAGTGGTGTTTTTTTCCTGCAATATCAGCCATCTGCCTACCGCCAAGTCCAGGATCGATCCCAGTTTGCACCATATTGACTCTCTTCTGTGTTGAGTGGCTCAACAAGAAGTGACGAGACTGTTGTAACGGATACTGAATATGGCTGTGTGCACAAAAACATTGCTTTCCAGCATGACAGCAAATATCGTGGTCCTTTAAAAGAAATAAATAAAATTAGCTAGTTTTTAGTGGGTTTCCATGAATGAGTGTTGGCAAAGAGGACGCAAACCTTTCATGCAGCCAAGTTGAAATCCCAGACAAACAATCATTCAATATTTTCCCACGTTGTTGACTTTTTCTCCATTCTTTGTTAATATTGATGAAACGAGATCTTGGTTTTAATTAGGAAGGGGGAAGTACCGATACCAGGCATCTGTATCGGTCGGATACGGATGCCTGGTATAGATACTGAAAGTTTTTTTTTTTTTTTTTTAAACATCATATAAGTTCTCCTCACCAGTAGTTAGCGCTAGTGACACATTGGCAAATCATCATACACGTCAGAAAAATTGGTATTTGATCACATTTATCTGTCATTGTGTGATTTGAAATTTCATTTATCATAAGTAAACTGGAAAAATGGTGTGTTAAATTGGCTCCATTTTATTTCGTCAAGTGGTTGCATGGAAAAAAAACCACTCTTGATCCAGATACATTTTTTAAGTAGGCTATATATCTATTTTCTATTGTGTGCAGCCACTTGACAAAATATACCTGTAAGGGTAAATTCTATGCAACATTTTTTTTCAGTGTACTTTTGATATTGGTACTCTGTACTGTGTGTACTAAAGAGTTAATATATGTATAATGTGTATAAGTCCGAGAAAAAAAATTGTGTCAAACATCCGTAGTTTTCACTTAACCTTTACATACAGTTTGGGTCAAATTTGAGCAGTTGACTTTTCCTAAACTGACCCAGAATATAACAAAATGATAATCGGCTATTGTGTATCGTGAGGCTGTATCCGGGTCAAATTTCACCTGTGTCAACTAAAATGGAGTTAAGATTTACCAGAATTTCTTCAATAAATCCAAGTTATGTATAGCTGCATTTAACAGGACAGTGTTTGGAAACAGTCATTGGAACTGTCTATGTAACCACCACATTTGCAAAGCAAATTCCAACAAAATCATGCACCTGTTGCTCCTTGAAAGGTCATGGAATCTCAAAGCAGTAAAACAACATCAAAATGGGCATACTGTACATAAACTGCCGAAACATTGATTAAGGATTAATTGTCCATTGACTAATGTCAGACAAGCAAAGAAAACATTGGATGTCAATATGTCATCTGCATTAAGTACAGCTGGAAATCCCAACTGAATGTATGATTCACCTTTTTGTAGTGTGTGTTTTTTAAAATGTATTTATTTATTTATTTATTTATTTAGGGAGGGCATGTTCAAATTCTGTTTCTGTCGGTACTCAAGATTTTGACATTGACAATAATTCAATCTTTTAGATTGTCCACCTCGAACCCCCCCACCCCAACCCCCCCCCTACACACACACACACACACAAACACACACACACACACCCACACAAGCATGCGCGCACACACACACACGTATCCCCGATTTAGTCAATATCATTCAAAAGTCATTTTTACTGAGACTTGAGTGAAACATTAACTTCAAGTCTAGTGTCTCGTCTTTATGGGGGGCTTCCTACCCTCAACTTGAAAGTCATGCAATTCTTTGTCGATGTTGGTCAGAATCTGCAGCTGGCTAACAACCGAACTCGCACGTTATTGTGTCACAACGCAAATATTTGTCACAGATTCACCATCGATGCTGTTTTCCTTCAGCCACACACTAAACAAGCATTAAGTACATTATTTCCCATGATGCTTTGGTGAGGAATAATAGGGATGATCATGAGTCTATACAGTTCCTTTAGTTTGCAAACTTGCTCTTCAATGCCCTTACGTTCTGTTCATTATCCAAACACACGTACTATGTTCCGGGCCAACATTTGGTGCTTGGGTCAGGGTTTTGTATGTATGGACTGTCATTGTTGTGCTATTTGACTATTTCACTGTCAAAGACCAACGGGGGCATGCTTCTGCAGGAACCTACACAAATGTGGTGGTTACATAGACAGTTCTCACGATTGTTTCAAACTCCCTTGTGAAAAACATACATGACTAGGACTCTTTTGCTGTTCTGAGATCACCCAAAAGGGACCTCTAAAGGTGCATTATTCTGCGGGAACCTTTGCGAATGTGGTGGAAACACAGACAGTTCTCTGCACTGTTTCATGCCATCTCTTGACAGCCTCCCATTTAAACACATTCATGCATGTAGTTACAGTTATAAGATTCTAACCATTGCCAGATTTCCTCTTTTTTTTCAATTTAACACACACATAGTAGTTAATTTGGCCCAGAAAAGCCTCGGTGTACACAAACTTTGTATTACAATATTTTTCATTTTTGTGTATTATGAGTCACTTTCAGAAGAGTAACGAAATTTTAAACTGAAAGAATGAGATTTCAGGAATTTAATTGCTGTCAAATGTCGAAGCGGATCAAATTTGTCCCGAGCAGTATGTTAAGGTTTTAATTGTGATGGCTTAGGCAAGCCGGAGAAAATGTACGAGGCCTTGCTCTAGCTGCTGCAGAGGACATAAATAATATGTAGCTGTTGTTACACACGAATGTAGTCGATTGTTGATGCCAGTCAAGTCTTATGCTGCCAGTGCATGTCAATCCGTACACGGCCACATCCCTCGCACACCCTTGTCACGACCATCGGTTCCTGTCTACAGGGACACACACTGCTGCAACATGGTCAAGTGGACTCATTATTGATGCTGGGATGGTGCCGCTGCTTGTGAAAAGGGTGGGAATGCCGCGCGCGGGGGATTGGCGAGCATACACACGCGCACACATTTAAAAATAGTCGACTGGAAAGATAAGAACTGTGACATTCTTCATAGATAAATCCGACATGCGTGCAGGGTGTGTGTGTGTGTGTGCGTGTGTGCGTGTGTGCGTGTGTGTGTGTGTGTGTG